TAATCTTAGAATGATAATTACTTTGCATGATAGATAGGCAACATGGGAAAAAAAAAAAGGCATGAGAAAAACATTACTTTATAAACCTCAAGACTCATTTAAAAAATTTGATATTTTGCGTATGAAAGCATTGTAATATTTACTGATAATGTGCCAAATTTTGTTAAAATTCATTTACTGATTTAAAAGTTACAGCATGAAAACTATAACAAGCACGAAGTGGTTACGAGGTTGGTCCCAGGGACTAAGCCTGTGCTGAAAGAATTAAGAACTATTTAACTGTAAAATAGTAAGCTTTTATTTTTTGGAAAAGTATGTTTTTCAAATCATGTGATGCCTGGCTATAGGTCTGTTAAATTTTGAGTCAACATTAAAACTTCTGTGTAATTGGTAGTCATGCACAGTTGGCAAAATGTGAAGTTTTGAAGAAGTGTGGAGTTGAATTGATCTTAAATATTTGAATGTGTTTGCATGGAAAGCTTCCCTCCCCTAAACTCCATAATTAGGATTATCAGACAGAACATATGAGCTTACTGAAGAAAAAATATGCATTAATATGAAATTTCATAATTTTTATAGCAGTAAGTATTACTACATATGTTGATTAGATAACTTGTTTTATAACATGCCAATGAGCTGAATTGTAGCTTAAGTAGTAGTACAATCACTAATCCTAATAGTAATAGGATAACTAGTAATATCTAAACAACCAAGCCCTAATTTATATGTTACACCACTCTGTTACCTTCTTATTTAAATTACTGACTTACCAAAATTAAACTAATATTTCAGTAATATAAATAGTGAAGAAAGTAAGTTAAAGTTTTGTAATATTACTGAAGGTTTTGTGATTGAGTGTTTGAAGCTATAGGACAGCGATATTCTAATTTTTTAAGTAATTCATGATCAACCATAACCAAAAGTTCACAGGTATGTTATATTTTCCAAAAATTTGTATTGAAGCATAAGAGAGAGAGAGAGAGAGAAAGAAAGAAAAAAGCTCTCTCCAACAATTTTTTCCCATTTACAAAAGACAATTTTTGTGAATTAAAAAATACATACATTTGACCAGTGATCCCTGGAGTGATGATAAACTAGAAAAGAATGATAGCATAAAAATTTCCATTGACTGCATGTCAAATCCAAGTATTCAAGTGCAAAGTGTCACTTATTGGCACTCTTGCATGAAAGGTTAAATAGCCAGCATTCTTTTATTAAACCATCTTATACTTCCTGGAATTTTGTTTTGAGTACATGTGCATTTTAAATGCATGAAATTTGAAAAAAAAAAGTGTTTAAAAAGACTGTTATTTTATAAACATGAAACTTAAGCTCATTGTTGTAACAATGAAAAAATTCCAGCTAGATCTTCTAGTTATCACTTTAACTGCCACTTCCTGAAACACGCAGTCTTTCCCCCCACCTTCTTCTCCACACTCTTTAAGGCATATATATCTACAATAGAAAAAAACATCCTCACATAAATCTACTTGAAAGCTTTAATTATTTGATTAATGTCTCCATTTTTTATATTAAAGTGTTTTCAGATGATGAATAATTTTAATTTTGATGGTCCAAGAAGAGGGTAATTAACAGAAAATGTTATCTGGACCTTTTTTTTTTTTACTTTCACCATTATAGGGTGTGACTGGGGTTAAGACTTATTGGATGAAAATAATGACTGATCTGGAGCCAGACATTTTAATGTTAGAAATAAAAAAACTAATGCAACTTCACTTCAAATGTTATATAACTTACTGTTATATGACATGCTATTTTAATTCATATCCCAAACTTTTTTTAACAGAGTCAGATAACAAAACAGTAACATTTTTTATTAAAGATGGTTACTGCTGGTAATTGCATTACTACAGTAATATGTATTAGTCATACATTGATATCTAGTTTGTTCTTAGAAGCAACTCACCATTTTAACCTTTAAACATTTTGGACTTCATCAGGTGATTGTAGAAAAGGCCCCTAAAGCTCGTATTGGTGACCTGGATAAGAAAAAATACCTGGTGCCCTCCGACCTTACAGTTGGACAGTTTTACTTCCTAATTCGAAAGCGAATTCATCTTCGACCAGAAGATGCATTGTTTTTCTTTGTCAACAATGTAATTCCTCCTACTAGTGCAACAATGGGTTCCTTATATCAGGTAAATGTGTAAAAATTGTATGACTTGTAATTGCTTTTTATTTTTGTGGGAATTTTTTTTTTCTCAGATTATTTGTACTTGTATAGTATATATCTTAGCCTAAATATCATGGATATAGTCAGAAAACATTTTGCATTTGTTATTCTAAGATTGCAACCCTTAAACCTTAATATTGTTAACTTAAAAACTAAATGATACTCAGAACAATTTTTTCTAAGCATAATTAAGTTTTTGTACAAAGATACACGGTATTTAATATAAATATTGTCGAAGGGATAAGTGACTATTATTCAAGTGTACCTTATTGACAGTCAAGAAGTATGTTTAACCAAATGTATAGGGGTTCAGTCCACTGGACCAATGCCTTATTAGTTATGTCAATGAAAATAGTGTTATTTATTTTCTGAGTATCTTTGATATACATAAACATACATGTAGGTATTGGGATGTTTTATAAAATTTCCTAGAAATGACCCTATAACACAACTCAATACATCTTCAAAATACACAAACATTGAAGTAAAAGGTGGTATTTATGTGAATAATTAAAATACTTTTGTCCATAGTACAATTTGCATAACCTATAGAACCACTGAAATGCATATTTATAATTTTATATTGTATCTGGTATTTACTCTACCACAAACTGTTCCTGAATGAGTAGTTGTTAATGCTGATATTAAATACATAATACCACATTGCGTAGCACTCTGTAAATGGTTATGGTGCATCTAGTTTGACTCCTATCCATGCACAAAGGGTTAACTCAAAGTACACATTTCTGAAATGGTTTGAGTTATGGACTGTTTTATTCTGTAGATTGAGTTTACTTTCAGGTCTGTTTTCTTACACCATTTTAACCCCTTCCCTCACCCTTTTTTTCCTAAGTATGTTTCAAGAAACATCAGCTTTAGTTCATTTTTTTGAAAGTATGCATATAGACAAATTGAAACACAAAATATTTCGCAATAGTTAATCAGTATTGTTATATGGAAAATAAAAGTGTAGCAAAGCTTATTATACACCTGAAATATCTCATGAAATATAAGAAAGTGTAAATATATATATATATATATTTTATTTGCATGAAATACCTTATACATGCAGAAAACAATTACACAGCTATAAAAAATAAGTAAAAAGATAACCTGTCAGAAAAATACATAAAAATGTATAACATATTCAACTTTGTTTTAGTATAGTAAATTCGAAAGCAAGGTATGACACAGAATGGTACATCACAGTCAGGATAAAAATACCTGCATGTGCTATCATCTGTTGGTGGAATATGGAATTGGTATAAAATGGAATTTCAGTCTCATCAATTTTAGCCATTTTAGTCATGTACTTTCTTAGGGTTTACCTCTGATGTTGGACAGTGTCATTGGCAGTACAGATTGATCATGTTATTAGCTTTTTACAACCAGTTGGCCTCTTTACTTCTATTTGATTTTTGACCTGATTTATGGGTGCTGTTTAGATTTTAGCTTGTTTTACTTTCACTTTTTACAGTATTTTACTTTTTTTGCCTTTTTACTGATTGTTTGGCACAGATAGTCTCAATGCTTTGCACTAGTAAACCCCAAACAACCAACCAACCAATCAGATTAAGTTTACTTGGATAAAAACTTTTGGAGTACAGGGAACCTGATTTAACACAGTATAATAATTCAATCATGAGGAACCCACTTTGAGACTAATAATGCTTGGAGATGGCTTGAATAGATAATGAAGAAAAACTTTAATATAATTTTAACAGCAAATGTACAACGTTTCGACAAGGTTTTGTCATCATCAGGTACAAAACCTCGTCGAAACCTGCTAAAGTATATCTAGTTTGTTCTTAGAAGTCAACTCACCATTTTAACCTTTAAACATTTTGGACTTCA